AAATATATATATACACACACACACACACACACACACACACACACACACACACACACACACATCTTCATTGTTCACCTAATGAAATAAATAATATGCATTTTAACAAGGTACACCATCAGAAATAAAATCTCGTATTCAAACCTCAGGGCTGTATATCACTCATTTTTTATGCTTGTGGCTTGTTTTGAACCCTTCATGTAAGACTGATAAAAGAAAGAAGAGAAGAGGAGCAGATAGCTGAGATACATGAGTGAAGCCCACACTATGTTATCTATGTAAGAATGGCAATCCCCATCCTGCATCCATTGGTACACTAGTGCACTTACTGCCAGCCCCATGGCCATCTGAGCAATCTGAGAGGAAGTGATGATGATGGCGCAGGATTTTGGCACACGGACTCCAGCAGCTCGAGCAGTGTAGTAGCTGTACATGAGCGCGTGCACGGTGTAATTCATGGTCATGAACCAGCCACCACCGGCGACCTGGTCTTTGTAGGAATACCAGGAGTACACCAGCACGGTAATGTGATGATACCAGTGCAGGAAGATCAGCCGCTGCTTGCGCAAGACGATGAACATGGTGTCCCCTGATAAAGTGAGGATGTGTGCAAAAAGGGTTAGAATACATGTTCAAAATTATTTGGCAAAATTACAAACAAAGACATAATGAACCTAAAAATGAAAATTGTGTCAACATTTAGCAACAAAAATGGGTCAATGGTTTTTTTTTTGTTTTTGGTCCAGAATTGTTTTGAACCCCACTGACTTTCATTATAACTTTCAAAATATCTTCCTTTTTGTTACACAAAAGAATGTCATACAGGTTTGGAACAACATGAGGGTGAGTAAATGATGACACAATGGTCATTTATGGTGATTTATCCCAAAATAAATGAATAAGAAAAGGCTCACCTAGCTCTGGGGCCTTGCTCAGCACAAAGGCACAAGCCCAGAACTTGCTTATCGGCCCATAGTAGAAGCTCTGATCACAAACAGACTGCTTAAAGCCGCTGGTTCTGAGCATGTACAACATGAAGCACCCAGTTCTCACTGCTCCAACGATACTGAAAGAGAAAAGGCATGATTTGTATATGAATATGGTCTGTAAAACTTCATCAAATTCATGATAAACAATTCAGGCCTCTAGTGAACTTTGGGGGTGGAAAAAAAAGCCGTGTGTTGGGCATGTTAGACAGAAACACTGCTATGTTAGCTGGCAGTTTCTGTGTTAAACAAATCAATATCAAAACATTAAGTGGTGAAAGTCCAGTTGCTGTGGGAGATCTAAAGAGCATGTGATCAGAGGTCACTGCTGCCATCCAATCACGATATTCCATTGTTCTTTTTACAAGCATGCAAACACTTACTTTGTGCTTGCTGTCATCTCTGTCCCCTTTTGAGATGGGACTAAAACACCTTCCCCCACCCAAATGAAACCAAAACCAACTTGAAACAATAGCCACCGAAGATTTAATAACCACATTTAGTGGTAAATCCCACAAACGTGTCATTGGCACGCATTTTGGCATGTTCGTGTTTCAAACATCATTTTTGCAGTTAACAATAGATATTGTTTCCTATTGGTACAACCATACGTCATGTAATCTAATATCCAACAGCAAAGTAAAACTACAAGGTGGTGTGAAACCTCCATGACACCACAAGATGCAAAGGAGCATCATAAGAATTAGCAAGTCATTTAGGTCTTCAATATGCCACTTCTATCATTAACTTGTTTTCCATTTTTAAGTATTGTAACCGTATGGAAAATGAAAGTCGGTCAGTCAGTCTCATTAAGAGAAAATGTTGTATTGGGATACTATTATAGTTTTTAAATATTTTGAATTTGTTTTTATTTTTGTATTTTCTAAAACCAAGTTTTAGTAATTTTGTTGTTGTTTTTTCTTCACTTTTTTATGCCTATAGTTGTATTCATTTTTATGTAGTTATTGTAGTACATCAAGTTAAACTAAATTTAAAAAAAAGAGAAATGCCGCTTAATGTTTTTATATATTTTATCTGATTTAACTTTTATTTTAAGTAATAAAAATGTTGTTTTTTATTGTTTTAGGTAACTATTATAACCCTTATGCATAACCATATCTGGGGGAACAAATTTTTATCCAGAAGTTGGCTAAATCTGACAAAACCTCCTTTTGTGAGCATCTTCATGTGTTAAACTGTATAAAAAGTAAATAAAGGTTAAAAATGCTGGTTTTCTGTTAGAGTTAGGCCATAGGATTTATAACTACACAAAGAAGTCTATACAATGTCCCCATTTATGGCGCAAATGTTTGTTTACAAATAAAAGAACCTTAAGTGGGTGACTCTGATGCTCTATAAACAGAACACTAGATTTTACTTACCTAAAGATGGCCAAACTGAGGGACCACAGCATTAACAATCTACGTAGGTCAAGTCTTTGTCTTTCCTTCATGAAGTGCTGCCCACCAAACACCAGCACTACATACACAGCACCAAACAAAAAAGACTTTTTCCTAAAAGACAAAGCATAACACCAGAAAACTTATTATACTGGACTTCCAAGCACTGGTGGCAGGTGTATTAATACAAATCAATTTCTAATTCAATCAAATACAATTCTTACCAGTTGTCCTGCATCCACTCAATAGCAAACCTCTCATCAAAGAGACGCTCGAAATCATACTCAATCAGAGACAGCTGAAATTCAGTCGCATTCATTTTTGAGTCTCCTACAACAAACTGCGATATAAAAAGTGAAGATAATTCAGTAAAAAAAAAGGTTGCTGGTTACTGTCCGTTCTGGTTGCTGTCCTCTCGGCACCAGTTAACTAGTCAACCACAAGCACACACCTGTCGTATGTAAATCAGGGTGGAGTTCCGAGTTTATAGTGAAGTTTAGGGAGGGACTCTCAGCCAAAGGCTGGTTTTGTATTTCCTGATTGGAATACCAGTTTTTGCAATGCAGACAAACAGCAGTCTTTATGTTAAAATGGCAGTTTGAATAGTTGTATACAAACAAAGAGCGAGGAAGAAGCTGATTGAGACTCTTTCGTTTTTGAAGCCATGTAAACCAGAGCTGTGATAAAGACCAATTACAATTCAATATGCAAATAATGGCGATGCCGAATATTCTCACTTGTAGCCAGGGTTAATAACTTTAATAATACATTTCTAATTCCTGATTTCTAATTCCATTCATTTTTATACCATATTTTATGAAAATTATAAAATGTATAAAAACCTAAATAATAGCCTACAATGATCATTTTTTAAATATTAATTTATTATTTTCATTTCATGGACCATGAAGTTGAACTTAATCAGAATGCTCTTATATGTATGATATGTATATGATTTTTTTAATATGTAGGCCTAAAATAAATAAATAAATAAATCTGAAGTTATCAAAAATATTTTGATCATCTGACAATGTTAAAATAGGTAATTGTTTTGAGTGAACTGAATTTAGATTATGAACGATATCATTATTTAGGATTGCTCGCAAAACGTTTGTGTGAATTTCGCTTTTGGCCTTTGAATTGCTATTCTGTAGGCTACACTCGAATTCCTGCCTTTCCAGTTCAAATATATTCTAGTTAACTGAAATTATTTTCTTAAATTTCGAATTCCAACATGTAATAATAATATAACATAATAACATGGAGAGAATACATACCAAATTTCTGTTTATATTTCTCAAGTCCATGCACGCGAGGGCGCTAGTGCTATACTGTTGTAGCGATCTGTAGCACTCAAGAGACCCAAAATAAAGGGTAACTGGAATCAGATTTACACTACAAGACTTGCTGTAACACACGCTTTATTAATACTTTTTCTATGGAAGATTACATTATCAGCGTAGTTAAAGAAATTACAGAATTAGCGTTTCAGTAGGCTACATAGGCTATAATTTGGCCAATGGTTTAAGCTAATTCATACTCCCAGTTTTAGATATTTTAATCACAAGATTAAAAACGGCAAAAACGTTAATACTGAGATTAAACTGTTATGGAGCTTTTCAAAATATTATACTTGCTATTATACTTTCTTCTCTCAGCTGTCAGGGCGCTCTGTGGTTCCCCTGCCAATCCTGTAGGTGGCGATGATTGCGTTTCTTTCTGTACAGTCATAGCACAGAAGAAGAATGGCCTCTGTATGAGAGTGAGATTTGCTACATTGTTTGAAATCTTTAGGAGCTCTTTAGTTTATACGATTTTGTTAGCAAGTAGCGGTCTTTATTTAGCAAATTCAGACTGACCGAGCGGCTACGATGAGGATTTATAATTCTTTACTCAGTGCTGCCAAGTTTAGGAAAGTGCTTGACTTTGGTGAGCGAGAGGTGGCGCATTGGTTCCCTGGACATATGGCTAAAGGTGCGTTACATACACTGAAAACCATTAAATCTGTATAATTTAGTGTTACGGGGACCTTAAATGTTTAACTGAGTTAACATCTGGAACAAGTGCTTTTTAATCATTCAGAATTCATTCGTTATTTATCTTATTTAAGCCAATCAGATATAAACGTGCTGTAGGTGTCTAAATCTATTCTCATGTGTCTCAGAATCTGAGATTCAAAGCTGATTTTGTCCTACAGAAACATGCTCACCATTGTGATTTCTCTTGTTAGGACTCAAGCAGATGAGAGCCAGTCTAAGGAAGGTTGATTGCATTATAGAGATCCATGATGCTAGAATATCCTTTTTTTGTTTTGCAGAGAAAGTACATTTTGAATGATTAAACCTCAGTATTTTTCTAAGACCTTCTTTAACTGGCCAACATACCCTTTTCTGGAAGAAATCCTTCATTTCAAGAGAGCCTTGATGTCCGGCCACACATACTTGTACTGAACAAGATGGATCTGGCAGACACGTCAAAAAAGCAGGTCTTATAATCTTATGCATTTCATTATTGCTTTCAATTTAAACTGTCTTGCAAATGCAACAAAAAAAGGATTTAATGGGTTTTTTTTTTTTATTTCGGCAGAGTATTCTGAAGCAGCTCGAGAGAGAAGGTGTGAGGAATGTTTTGTTTACAGACTGTTTAAGACAACGAGATGAGAATGTAAAAAAGGTGAGCAGTGTCAGACGTTACATCAGATATTTCTAAATTAAAGCTATTTCTAAATAAAAGACTGGAAAACCTAGCACCTTATAGTTTTAAACATTGTGTCTTTCACTATCTTATGTTCTAGATTGTTCCTCTTGTGACAGAATTGATAGAAAGTGGGTCACGTTTTCACAGAGAAGAGGTGGGTTTCAATTATTTCAATAGCTTACATTGTACTATAAAGTTTTCTGAATTTCTTATTCGTCTATGTGTAGGACAGAAGTTACTGTCTGATGGTCATTGGTGTGCCAAATGTGGGGAAATCATCATTGATTAATGCAATAAGGAGAACATATTTGAAAAAAGGTATTTATTTTATGCTTTGCAAAATACCTTTCTTGTTGCAGTCACTTAATCTTAACAATCAGACAGAAGGCTTAAACATGGGATACTTTTATTGCTGTCAGGCAACGCTTCAAAAGTAGGAGGTGAACCAGGAATTACAAAAGCTGTCCTGACCAAAATTCAGGTATCTTTTATAATCATTTGGTGGATTCAATTGGGTTGATGTGTTCACACATTCACACACGTTCACAGCTTAAATGAAAGTTTGTTTTACTAGGTCTGTGAGAGACCCATAATTCATTTACTGGACACCCCAGGAGTCCTGCCACCTAGAATAGAGAACATAGAGACAGGAATGAAACTTGCTTTATGTGGTAAGTCCAAAAAACCCAGAGAAATGAATCAAATCTTAATGTTTAGTTGTTATAATGTTATTATTGTAAGGTGATGATGGTGTCTCCTTTTCAAACAGGTACCATTTTGGACCATTTAGTTGGTGAGGATGGCATTGCAGATTATCTGCTTTTTTCACTGAACAGACTGGAAAGATTTAGGTAGGTTTTGTAACATAATTCTAAGTGATTTTTTGGAAAATCTACAAGCAGCAACAATCATTTGTTGTTTGTTTTAGAAAGCAGAATGTACGGTAGAGTAATCAATAATGATTGTGACAATTTCTTCTATAGTTACATTGAAAAGTACAATCTTGAAGAGCCTTGTGATGATATTCAACATGTGCTGAAGAGTATAGCGGTGAACCTCGGCAAGACCAAGCGTGTGAAGGCCATCACTGGAGTTGGTGAGTCGATTCATTCAAGCCACTCAATTTTCATTTTAGCGATTTCAAACAAAATCAACCTCACTTGAACTTCTTCAAATGTTGAAGCATTCACTTTTTTATGAAACATAAATCATTGAATATATTTAATCAATAACACATCAACTGTTTAGGCAACATCACCGTCCAGTTACCAGACTACAGTGCAGCAGCCTACAATTTCATCAGAGCATTTCGGAAAGGAGAACTTGGAAAAGTTATGCTTGACTGATAGTGTTTTAAATGGCTGATTTGTAACTGATGCAATGAAAGCTTGACCTTACTGTATGTATGCTCAAGACTGGACACTGAGCACATAAGAGAAGCACTTCGTACTTTTAATGTTTTAATTAAAAGGTGGTGCACAGGGTATTTGGGGCATGTCTTTGTTTTTATTGTGTAGCTGTCAGAAAAGGTGCATTGAATATTATTTCTCAATACTGCAATTGCAACTACAATAAATTATTCAGTTTAATTTGATACGCATTGGTGTCTTGTATGTGAAAACCAAAGATTACAACCAAAAGTCAAATGGCAGCACTAAACTACATATAACATTTTGATTTTCTACTTTCACATAATTACATAATCAGTTTTTTTTCCCCACAATTAATGTATTCATTTTATAAAATATTTGGCATGTAATTGCTTTGATTTCTAAAATTATAAATTGTTAAATATATCTAACAGCTGGCAAACAGAGCTTGTGTAGTGTTTTTATTTAAAAAAAAAAAAATATTAATTTCTTACGAGTTTTTAAACACGTGTGCACTTAATACATACTGCATTCACATTGTTTTGTGGGTTATCAAAAAATCTCTACTTGAAAGACAAAATTGTTTCAATACATCAAATGTTCAAAGCATGACTAAGGTAGAAATTTAAAAACGGGATGTTTACATACCCACATCAATGGAAGTACAGGTACAGAATTAAGTTTTCTTATTCTAAAAGTGTTACAGCATGTCTTTTCAATCTATGTACAATTATTAGTTAAATGTGCACATAAATATTATTAAACAGACAGAGGTTAATATAAAAAGGTTCACGTTTGTGTAAATCTCAAGAACAATGGTGATTCACCAACAGTGCAGCAGCACAACAACACAGTATTTTTACCATCCAGTACATGATGTAACCAGCATAATTTAAGTAGTCTATCATTGTATAGATACTAATGCTCCTGTTGAAGCAAACTATGCAGTCTAACCTTTCAGATCCTATTCTTAAAATGTCTACTAAACTAAATAGAGGTTTTGAATCTTTCTTTTATCTTCATATCCTCTTTGTTGTGCAATAAAGTATACATTATTAAACAGGTGTTGCACAGTAACATACATATGCAGCTTATTAAGCTGTGCCGAACTGTCTTGAACTGCCTCAAGGGGCAAAGAACATCACAAAGTTTATTGGTAAGAGCAGAGTGGAAAGTTTAGTGGGATCGTGCACTATTGCGCTTGATGTCCTGGCGAGGTAGAGCTCCCAGTCTGTTCTGTTATTGTAGTAATCATCTCCGTGCTCTGAGCTGTCATCCGGACGACGCTGAGCCGATGCGTACCATCCTCCGGCTCCCAGCGCCACCACAGCCCCGGCCGCCGCTGCCCCTGCCACCCGCACAGCGGGGGAGCCTCGGGTGCGGGACGTCCGGCCTCCTCGGGCGCTGCCCCGTGCTGAACCCCTGGCTCCTCCCCTGCCACCTTTGGATATCACCTGATCGCACAGAAATGCTGAAAGCAGGAGAAATATCCAGCAGGTGGCAACAGCCCTGTTCATTCTGGATCACACTGGGAATGGAAGAAAAGCATGGAGATGATTCAGAAAAGAAAAACCCTCAGAATAAGTGTAATAGCTTCTCTAAACTTATTTGTATCTACTTATTTTACCTGATTATTACAGTGGTTCCTAATTGTATTTGGACACTTTAAGGTATTTTAAGTCACACTTAAAATGTACAACATTATCAGTGGTTCTCAACCAACATCAGAATCTTTTTTTTTTTCTTTTTTCTTTTTTTTTCACGCCCTCAACAACTTTTTAATTCTTTAAGCGACAATGGTTCCAACTGCCTTGAAAAACCTGAAAATATCCGTAAGCCTAATTTTAAAAGTGTGATTTCTAGAATTGGAAAAGTCATGTAAACTTATAAAAATCTTATATATTTTTTTACCTAGTTATGCCAAGCTTTGAAATATTTTATTGGGTAATA